TCTCTCTCTCTCTCTCTCTCTCTCTCTCTCTCTCTCTCTCTCTCTCTCTCTCTCTCTCTCTCTTATCCATATTCTCGGTGCCTTCCCATTCATCCACTGACTGTGGGACAGTAATTCACAGCAACACCTTCCACAAACTATACTTCAAAGTAACTCGAGACGGCTTGCAAGGCACATCAAATCACATAGCACACCAACGATAGCTTGCTGAGGGATGAACATATGAAATTAATAGTAGAGGCGTTGGCATTCGACAGCACTGACCTTCAGCGAACCCTCCCCTCAGCCAGCAAACACAGCGTGTTGTGAAATCTGAAACAAACAAAAAAAAAAAAACCCTAAACCAACGTATCACATCATAACGTAAACGTACCACAGATTGCGGAGTCGTTCCTCAGCGGCCCTGGCCACGGCCGTTGTTGTCATCACCAAACCGACCACCCATAGAGGAGGATGAACCAGCGAATGAAAAGCGTTGCGGTTGTTCTGCTGGACTATCGACCTCCTCGCCCTTGTGCTGCGCATGGGCGAGACCCGGGTCATCGCTCATCTCGGAACCCTCGCCTGTTCTTCTCCCATCTTCATCCGATTCGAATAAAACTTCAAAGCCGTCTTCCTCCAACATTTTCATCACGCCGATGTTCCGTTGGATGGGCATGATCTCCGGCGAACGACTGTCGAATGAAGGCGGTGCTCTCGGTATCTCTTCGATATCTTCATCGTCGGCAGGTCCGAGAGCAGCGCCAAGCATAGACTCTAGCTCCTCATCTGAGGTAGTGCCCCCCCCGCCCCCGCCCTCTTCCATAAGGACCTGAAACGCATTGTCCTCGAGCATTCGCATGACGCCTCCGGAACTCTCCCTCGAAGGAGGCACTCCTCCGCCGGGCGATTGTTGGCCGCTATGCAGCCCCTTCTCTTCTTCTTCTTCAGAAAGAAGGCCATGCTCCTCCATCAGCACCGCATAACCGAAGTCTTCCAACATTTGCGCTCTTGACGCATCGTTCGCACCCTGTCGCTGACCAGCGCCCTGGCGAGCCTCGGTGGCCCAATACTCGCTACCGTGCTCGGGCATCGTGACATGCGCAAGCCCCTCTGCACGCAAAGACTGCCTTCTTTCTGCACCATATCTCTGGAAGACCTCGTCTTTCGACAAGCGGACTGTGTTCAGATTCTTCGAGCCGCTCTGACTTGCATCCGACTGTTCCAAACGCCGTTGCCCCTCATCGTTGCCGCTTTGCCGGCGTGCAAGCGAGGACGATTCAGCTGTGCTGATGTCACCGAGGAACGAATCCATGATTTCCGCTTCCGGGCTCCTCAAATCCTGCCACATCAAGAGACGTGCCGCACGCCATGCAACATTAAACCACCACCACCACTACCATCTTTTTGTGGGCACCTGGAAAACTGGCCCTAATAAAAAAAAAAACAAAAAAAAAAACAGGCTGTGACACTGTCGTACAGCAGAAAAGACCAAATACATGATTTTACTTGAAATGATGACCAGCTCAGAAAAAAAGGGGATGTACCTCACGTAGCACCCCGACAGGTGGTCCCGCGACGGCACGTGGTCCCGGGCCTCTAATAAAGCTGGTTTAACTAAGCACCTATGTTACCAGAGTGTCCCGGGACCACTTGCCTGTCCCGGGACCACTTGCCTGTCCCAGGACCACTTGCCTGTCCCGGGACCACTTGCCCGTCCCGGGACCACTTGCCCAGCTGGTAGCCCAGCTAAGTACCCAATAGACGAGCGTGGGACATTTCTAAAAGCTTTTTTCTTTGACAGTGCCTGCGTTCCAGGGAGTTTTGGGACGTGGGAACTCTCGGTGGGACTCCTGTCAGGGTACCAAATAACAACATCGGGACCAAAGACAAGAGTTACAGGGGCAAACTACCTTATGGTTATGAATTTTATGAATTAAATTTAAATTCTCTCACTCCCTCTCTCTCTCTCTCTCTCTCTCTCTCTCTCTCTCTCTCTCTCTCTCTGTGTCTGCCGTACACAGCCGGCTCCCTAAAGACATTTTGTCCATCAATGATGGTTGGCGCAGCAAAGACAACCCATCAGCACGTCCCACGGGCCCATCCCACCCCCTTCTACACACACACACACACACACACACACACACACACACACACACACACACACACACACACACACACACACACACACACATCAAAACACAGGCTTTTCCCACCAACACTGCTTGGCTTCCCAAGACCCTGACGAGCCAATCACACACCCTCGCCTTGAAAAACCCATTGCCATTTCCCCTAGGACCCCCTGTACCCACACCATGATCATTGCACACATTTTGTACCGGAGCCTATTTGAAGCCACACATCCCCAGTCATCCAACAGACCACACGCATTGTGTTTGCTTATGAAAGACACGAAAGCGAGCGACATTGTACGGTCCGTTACGACACGACCATCATGACTATTCCAAATCTACTAAGACGGATATCTGACTCTTGACCGACAAAAAAAACCACGGTCATCATCGACTCATTATAGATATCATTCCTTCACGAACACAATTGAGCCAAACATGTTCCACTGACAAATCCGCTATATCCCAAGGTGAGCGCCTTCGTATATGCTACGGTCCAAGCGATGCGCCCTATAAAACAGCTTTTACATAGTAATCAAGAAATAATAAAATATTAAATACATATCTGTATTTACTATTTAGTATTTATACCCCCACCCAGGCTAGACAGCACCGACTCACCGAATATTCCTCACTGTCTTCTGAAATGTCCGGTTCAAAGAATCTGCCATTTTTGGCCTTGTAGTTTTCTATCGCTTCATCGATCTCGTCAGCGGACTCTGTCAAGCACCGGCCTTCCTCTTCTGTGCGTGCGTCATCTGCAGTGTCTGCCTCCAGCTGCTGCTGATACTTCACCACAGATGGGTATTTATCCTTTGGTTGTTGTGCAAGGACATCTTCTCCTTTCTGTTGAGGCACTGCACCAACCAGACCCCCAACGGACGACAAGATCCCCATACCCCCCCCCCCCAAGTGTGCGGAAACACAAAGTGCAAGGGGATGCAAGCGACGATGAGCTCTTACTTCTGACCAACTTCTCACGATATCGAAAATTCGGCACGATGTTAAGCGGTACAGCCAAACCGGATGTGAATAAGCAGCAAAACTGGACTGGATGCTTCTTCTCCCCGCCCAGAGCATGTTCACGTGCGGGAGAGAGGATGGGGGAAACAACACCGAGTGCGAGAGGCTGATCAACACGACCGAGTGCGACAGACTCACTGACCATGAGCTTTCTCATTTCTCATTGACTTCTCTGGTGATACCGTCTTCACCCAAAGACAACACTACCCTCATCTTCATCGCGAAGGTATGTATAGAAGCTATCTTTCTGGTCAGATACCCTCATGATTAAGGTACACATTGTGTTCCAGTGAAGACGGTAGCAAAGTCGGACAGTCCAAAAGCGACAAACCAAAACTAAACGGTTAATATGTATGGTACGGCAAATCGGAAATTGGAAGTCAGACAGGCGATACGAGATGGAACGGGAGGAGAATCCGACGGTTCACATGTGATGTTACTTAACGACGTTACGATGAACTATTATATTAACACAAAAAATAAAGGGAAGTCACAATTTGCACTGTGCTTGAGTAGCAAGAAACTTCAAAAAGGGCAAAAAACAAAAAGTACAACGACAAGCAGCTATGTGTAAGACGCACTCAGACCAGGTAATCTTTCTTCCACCTTTGCGTCCGTCGAGTTTTCAGATAAGTGAACTCAGATCACCTCACCGACGACCAGACATCATTCTTTCTAAACTTTTTGCAACGAACCAAGTGACTGATGAGCATCCAATTTTCCATTGCAGTGAGAGCCACACAGCAGAACAAGCATATAGCATATAAGAGTAAAGCCTAGAGAAGATTACTATAGCTTAACTCACACCAAACAAGGACACAATTATGCTAGAGCCTCTTGATCACAGAAAGCCCGATAACTCAACTCCAGATATATCAAAACAACAACAGCATACAGCTGTTCCCTTCCAATAAAACCGCCTATACTACTCTCTCTCTCTCTCTCTCTCTCTCTCTCTCTCTCTCTCTCTCTCTC